AGCCTGGTTTTGAACTTGCAATCCTCCGGCCTCGCCTCCTGAGCTGCTGAAATTACAGGCCTGTACCACTGTAGCTGGCAAAATTTTTACTTTTTACTAATGTGTTTAATAGTCATAGCGATGTGAAGTGTATTTATGTTATTTTGATCAGTTACGTACAAATGATAATCACAATGATAACTCAATCCAGAATGAACATTTGATACCTAGCGTTTGTATCACAGGATCTGTATCTTTATTTTTCAGTTTCTTGTAAGGGAATAGGAGAGAGCAAATATACTTGAAGATTATTAATCTAGAATAAGTCTCCCCACTTTTTTTTTTTACACAACAAACCCTTAAAAATATTGGTAAAATTAGGTAAAGGACTGCAAGAAACTCACATATTTGAGTCTCAACAATCAAATCAGGCACCTGATAATACTTTTGGTTATGGCTACCACTTATTGATGCTCATCATGAACCCCAAAGTTAAGGGTAGTGCCCCAAGTTCTAGGGCTCACACTAGAGCAGCCAAGATGGGAAGCCAGGTCAGCCTGCCCGCAGTCCTATCATTTGGCTGTCCTAAACCTGACCTCCCCCTCTTCTTTCTCTTTCCACCCTACAAGCTTTGGCTAGCTCACCCAAGAGAAAACTGTTTCCCTTTACAATTTCTTTTTTGGCAACATCTCTAACAAATATATGAAATGTGTAGTTGGATAGGCTCTATTTACTTATTTTTTTTTAGATTTACTGTTCACCATGGAATCCAGGATTTTGTCATTTGTTTATGTCTTTTTATGGCCTTTGGTTGCAATTTAAGAAAAGCTTTATCTTCTTCAGTTGGTTATATTCCATTGGCTGCCTCTGGACTCTCTCTATCAGGCCTTTCTGCATCAAGATTGTGAAGGTTTAGAGTCTTTTCTTTAATCATTAAAATAAATAAATAAATTGAGGGGCTGGGGTTGTGGCTCAGTGGTAGAGAGCTTGCCTAGCATATGTGAGGCACTGGGCTCAATCCCCAGCACCACATAAAAATAAAAACAAATAAAATAAAGGTATTGTGTCCACCTACACTAAAAAGAATAGTAAAAAATAATAATAATTTGAAAGACTGACTCTCTATATATTCCCAGTGCTACCCTTAGTCATAAATACCAGTAATAATAGATGCCATATTATTGTGTTGTCCCAGGGTCCATATTTTGAGGTTAGGTAAGTGTCAGCCATAAAATATATGCAGTTTTGTGAAAAAAATGTTGTTTTAATATGAAAATGAAACTGCTGTGCACCCATGTTCAAAGCAGCATTATTCACAATAGTGAAAAAGTAGAAACAACTCATTAGCCATCCATAGATGAATGGATAAACAAAATCATGAACATACAGTGGAATATTACTCAACCTTAGAAAAGGAGGGCAGTTCTGATCCTTATACAGCCTTTTTTTGGGGGAGGGAGGGGGATCCAGGGATTGAACTCAGGGGCACCCAACCACTGAGCCACATCCCCAGCCCTTTTTTGTATTTTATTTGGAGACAGGGTCTCACTGAGTTGCTTAGCACCTTGCCATTGCTGAGGCTGGTTTTGAACTCAAGATCCTCTTGCTTCAGCCTACCAAGAGCCTCTGGGATTACAGGCGTGTGCCACCGCACCCGGCCCCATAAACAACTTTGATGAACCTTGAAGACATTACAAAACTAAGGGGATGTGTCAGTCACAAAAGGACAAACACCATAGTATTCCATATATGTAAGGAATGTAGAACAGTCAAACTCATAGAGATAGAAAGTAGAGTGGTGGTTGCCGGGCTGGCAGGTGGGAGGAATGGAGAGTTAGGGTTTAATGGGTGCAGAGTTTCAGGCTAGGAAGATGAAAAAAATTTTGGAGACGGATTGCAGTGCTGGTTACATAGTAGGAATGTTCGTACTGATGCCACGGAACTGCATGCTTTAAAATGGTTTAAATCATAAGATTTATGCCATGTGTATTTCACCACAATTAAAAAAAATATGCAGAAGCTGTGGCTTTTACCAAATAAAGGAATAAATTAGTTTCTTTTTCAAATAGTCAATTATAATACACTTTACTAAAAGTCAAATTAAAGAAAAGACACTTTCTTAACTAGAAAATGGCACATTTGTAGAAATGATGGAACACAAATGATTTAATGTTTATTTAATTTTAATATTTATTTAATTTTCAAAGAATTACTAATTTATCATAGAATACAGTGCATATGTATATTTGATTTTTTTTTTTTTTTTTGTGGTACTGGAGATTGAACCCAAGGATGTTCCCCAGCCCTTTTTATTTTATTTTTATTTTGAGACAGGGCCTCACTAGGTTGCTTAGGGCCTTGCTAAGTTGCTGAGGCTGGCCTCAAACTTGTGATCCTCTGTCTCAGCCTCCCGAGTTTCTGGGATTATAGGACTATACCACTGCACCTAGAAGTACATTTGATTTTTAAGAAATTTTCATTTGAACTCAGTTTGACTAGCTATTAAATTGTCATTCAAGACAAGCAAATTAACAGTACTTCATAATAAATAATTAACTTGCTTTCCTGCAACTATGATTAATGCACTACCCTGAATCGTATTTCAGGATTTTCAGGTCTCAGCTGACGAGGTAATTCTTCTTGTATTACATCTTCTTACCTTTAAAAAAAAAAAAAAGTAACAATGATCAAAATACTGCTTATTTATTTATAGATAGCATTTTTTTTTCTTGTAGTGAAAGTTCAGAATAGGTAATAGCATAAATGCTGTTGGGTTTTGGAAGAAATATATAGCAAAATAATGGAAAACCCACATGGATGGATATTCTTATTATTACTTGAAGAAATCATAGTTCCCCTGGTGTGTTGAACCTGTAGGATGGTCCCTGTGATGGATTCTTACCATCATCACTGTGAAAGGAACACACAAAAAAAAATTTATTGAGAAAATCCTGTGTGCACATAGAGTGCAGAGTAAACCATTTTCACACCAAGGAAAGGACCATCTTGTTTTGTGCTGGGGATTTAATGTGCTCTGCCACTAAGCTATATCACAGAGACCATCCTAAAGGTTCAACACACCAGGGGAACTATGATTTCTTCAAGTAATAATAAGAATATCCATCCATGTGGGTTTTCCATTATTTTGCTATATATATTTTTTTCCCCAAACCCAAGAGCATTTATGCTATTACCTATTCTGAACTTTCACTCCAAGAAAAAAGAACGCTATCTATAACTCACACTCCATAGCTTGCTGTTCAGAATCCTCCTGACCTCTTCCCAATGTTGCTTTTCCACCTTCACCTCCTGCTCTTCTTGTTGTGTTCTGTTCATTGATACACGTGTTAATTAATGGGTCTGATATACGCTAGGCACAATCCTAGGCCCCTGGAATCAGGGGGAAAGCAAAAACCCTAAAATAATACCTACTCTCATGGAAAGAAGCACATGGCTAAAAGTAAAATTCTGCATAGTGTTAAGGGGATCCAGTCTAGTTTAGAGGTCAGGTGTGTTGTCCCTGAAGAAGTGACAATTTGAACTGAGATCTGTTGATGCCTCAGAGTTACCTAGGCAAAGGGGTTAAAGGTGTTACGACTGTTGGGATGCCCTTCTGTCCCTGGTCTAGAGGTAGACACACATGACCCAACTGGGTCTGATTCCCCCCTGCAAGTCAAATCCTGAACAGAGTCACCTGAGCACATAAAACCACTGCAGCTGCTTCATCCTGACCACTGGGCCCTAAGAAAGTGTCCACTGGTCCCACCTTCCAAGTTTCTGAGCTACCTGGTTCCAGCCCTGGCCCAGGCATGGTCCTCCAGTTCTCCTTTGATTTTGTGAGACAGACAATATCCTCCCATTTTTTGCTGAGTTAGTCCTGATTGTAACTAAAGAAAGAACCCAGACTCCCCTAGAGTCAGAGGGTCCCTGAAGAGGGAAGCTCAAGGGATATTCCACATCCCTGAAGCCTTGACACTCCACTTTTCTTGACCTGTTGGCTCATGTTTTCCATTTTTTTTCTTGGTAATTTTTGGGGGCTACCTCCATTATTTGATTATTCACCTACATATATATTTTAACTGATTATTTTTTCTTAAGGAAGGGAGAAGAGAGGATGGAAGGAAAGGGTAAAGGAAAAGAGAGAAAGAAAGGATTGGATAAGATAGAAAGGGGGTGGAAAAGGAAGAAAGGAAATACACCCAGCTGAGTAGTTTCTCCCCTACCAGAAAGCGAATGACCCTCTCTGGAATGCCCAGGACCTGCTCATCCAACTCACAAAATCCTGCCTGTCACTGATAATATGTGTCTGTATTCTATTCTGCTGGATAGAACTTCTTTGGGACAGGATCTTTTCAAATTCCTCATTTTCTCCTCCACTGCGCCTGAGTCCTGTGCTTTAACCTAATAGATGTTACAAAGATCTTGGTTGAAGGCTAGGAATGATGGCATATACCTGTAATCCCAGCTACTCGGAGGCTGAGGAAGGAGAACTGCAAGTTCAAGACTGGCTGGGCCAATTTAGTGAGCCCCTGTCTTAAAATAAAAAGGGCTGGGACTAAGCTGGGCATGGTGGTCCACACCTATAATCCAACCACTTGGGAGGTTGAGGCAGGAGGATCACAAACTTGAGGCCAGCCCTAAACCAGGCCCTAAGCAACTTAGTGACACCTGCCTGAAAATTTAAAAAAAGGGATGGGGGTGTGGTTCAGTGGTAAAGCTCCTCCTTTCAATCCCCAGTATCTCCCCAGCCCTCCACTCCAATTAATAGGGTGGGGGCTGAGATTATAGTTGAAGGGTAGGGTACATGCCCAGCATGTACAAGGCCCTGGGTTTAGTCCCTAGTACAATAGAAAGAAGAAAAAAAAAAGGAAATAAAATAGGCAAATCCAGATTATTTTTCTGCCAATAACATAAGAGAATTTCCAGTTTATCACACTGGTATCTAGATTTCATGGGGCTTTTTAAAATTTGCACATTTGATAGGCAGAAAATGATGTCTTGTTTGTTTTCATGTCTTTGATTATTGTGAAGTTGAACATATTTCCCAGAGATTTTTAAAACTGGTTTTATTTTTTCCTTTTATGAATCATCTATTCCTGTCAAAGCATTCTTAATCAGGCACTCTGCTTACCAAGTTTGAAAATGTTCCTTAAAATGCTGAAGAACTTTCAATACTACATAGTCAATGAAGTTGGAACTCTCAGCACTTTCTTCAAGAGGAATCCCCAATGCAGACTTAGGGGAAGGCAGAATGCTTGATTCTACCACTGGGTCATCTTGTTTGGAAGAATTTCCTTCATGAGCTCTTGGAACTACCTAGAAGAAGGATTGTACAGTAAAATTAATACATTGGTCAGGATAGGCTAAGTTGTGCTGAGGGAACAAATTAGTCCCAACATTTCCAGTGACTTCATATCACAAAAATTTATCTCTTGTTCTTGTTACATGTCCCTTATAAGGGCACTACACTATATAGACACCTGGATGATAGAAGCACATCATCTCATGGCTAAGGCACCTGAACACCTGTCTTTTTTTTCTCAGCTGAGGAAGAATATACATAGCTTTTCACTGTTGTATCCTAGAAATAATCCTTATCGTTTTTACTCATATTTCATTGGTCCCGCCTTGCCACATGGCATGACTTAACCACAATAGGAACCAGAAAACTGAAGTGAGCAGATAAAATGTTTAATGACTTTTGTTTGTGCCACTGGTATTAATATGAAGTACAAAGTTTTGCTCTGAGTTTTCCTAGGAAATTCACAATGTATGGATATATGTGTGAAATGCCCATCAGTTACTCTTAATGAATTCTCAAGTGTGTATGCTTCAATTTCAATCATTTACATGGCACTGAACTGACATGCAACCTGTTGTCATCTGAAGAGAACTATTTTGAAAATGTTTTTCAATAAATACCCTTATCAGAAGAACTAAAGCAAAAAAAATGAGGCCAGGTTGAAGTCAGTAACTTTATAAGTTTTCAAGTTTATAAAGGAATGGCTTGCATAAGATTTCCCCTTCTTTTTTAGTGAATATAATATTCATAAAACTGTATAAAGCCTTTATGTCTAGTTTAATAAATAACCTTAAAGTAAACACACCTGTAACTACAACCAGGACCTGAATGTTTTTTACTTCAATGCTTGCTATTTTATGGGTTTGCACTTTCCCTTACATGATTAAATAAGAACCAGGTCCAGATAGACCTGCTTGAGTTTGCATTCCAGTTCTCCCACTTACTAGCTACCCTTGTACCAGTTGCTTCTCGTCTCTTGTGCCTCATCTGAAACACTGGGAATATAATACTGCTTACCTGCTATGGTTTGGATGTGGCTTGTCCCCACCCAAACTGATGTTAAAATTTGGTTCCCAGCAGAGCTTTATTGAGAAGTAGTGGAAGTGATTAGGTCATGTGGAAGTAAGTTAGGTCCAGAGGGACTGGATCGATTACCACCAGAGCAGAAGTTATAGAGCAAGACTGGCACCTCTCCCTCATACTTCCTCCTGGTGTCTCTCATCCATGTGCTCTCCTTACATGCACGCCTGCTTCCCTGTCCCCTTCCCATGTGGAGGAGCACATGGCCCTCGCTAGAAGCTAAGAAGACTCACACCATGATCTCGAACTTTCCAGTCTCTAGAACACTGAGCTAAATAAACCTCTTTATTTTTATTTTTTTATAAATCACTCATGCTTGGGTCCCCCATGGTGCTGGGAATTATTGAACTGAGGGCTTCATGCATGTTAAGCACATACTGTACCCCAGTCTCTGTATTCTGTAACAGCAACAAAAAATGTACTAAGACATTACCTTATATGATCACTGAGGGGAATAAAATGGTCAGACTATATAGGAAAAATTGTTAGAACATTGCCCAAAACATAGTCAATGCTCTTTAGTGATGATGGTTATCATAAAGATATATATTGAAAACCATAATTTTATTTTATATGGAGGTTTTTATACATAGGTACCTTTGTTATCAATCTAAAGAACTTCAGATAAATCTGCTATTGTTACTCAGAGACCCTAGAACGGGAGCAAATTAAAGTACAGAAAGGAAAATAATGCCTGGAAAAAAATTACACATCAACTGTAGCTTTCTAAAGGTTGAAAGCACTGATAAAGATTTTCTTAAAATTTCATCCTTTAAGACAAGCTTTTTCTCATTGACCCAAAAGTCCATATGTGTGAGGATAATTAAACACATTGAATTCTTTTGCCCTCCTAGAGTGTGACCTAATAGCATCACAGAATTTGAATCAGTAGCGACAGGAACAGTGGCTTTCAGCACCCTTTGGCTATGGTCTGCAATAACAAATGCATTTTATATTATGACGCAAAATACACATGTCTACATTTGTGTGTAAATATTCATATATCTGCACACTCACACACATGTTGGAAATGAAAGTTCTATGACATGCATATGACTTACTCAATGCACTGCATGCTACTCTTTTCTGTCTTATATTTTGTGAATTTATTTATTTTTAAATGTGCTTGTTTTGCTTATTTTTCAAGCTGTGCATGGACCAAACTTTGTGGGTTGAAATAGAGCTGGATGACAGAGCAGCAGGTCAAATTCCCAAGAAGCAGAGCTGGAGATCTTAACATGAGTGATTGAAAGGGACGCTCTCAGGGACCACTGTTAAGGGGGTGAGGAAAAGCAAACTAGAAGAGGGAGCAACTAAGCAAGGAAATGGCTTCAGGTGACCTCTAGCCTCCGGCTCCATCCTGCAGAGATGGATGGAGCTCAGTAGCCCCGAGGGAAGAAATCCCTTGGAGAAGTAGTCAGCAATGTGGAAACTGGTAAAAAAAAAAAAAAAAAAGATGCCCAGGGATCTGGGTAGGGCGCCAACATCACATGCTGCTCAGAATATTGCATCTTTAATTGTTCAGCCTAGTGATTTTTGTGTTCAGGTGTTTTTAGGAACCCCTGAATACAAACCTCATCAGGAATCACCATGGTGCATTTATGTAATTAACGTGTAACGTTTGGTTATGGGGGTACCTGTCTGAGGAAAGAAAGTAGGTCACTGTTTAATGCAACAAAGAGTTCTTGATTGAATGTGGGAGTCAGTATAGCTGCAACTTAAGATGACAGTGTCTTTCTATGTGAAAATAAATTTATAAAGTGTGTGTCATTATCAGCCAGGGGTTTTGCTCTGTGATAGAGGGCTTGTCTGGCATATGTGAGGCCTTAGGTTCTGTTCCCAAGCACAGCAATAAATAAACTAAACTTAAATTAAATAGACATAATTCTCAAGGTAACTCATAATTCAGCAGCTTATTATTATGTCAAAAACTAATAAGACTAGCTGGGTGTGGTGGTGAATGTCTGAAAGTGGCCACTCAAGAGGTTGAGGTGGAAGGATCAAAAGTTTCAGGTCAGCCTCAGCAATGTAGTGAGGTCCTTAGCAACTTAGTGAGACCTTGTCTCAAAATTAAAAATAAAAAGGGCTGGGTATATAATTCAGCGGTAATATACCCCTGGGTTCAATCCTTTGTACCAAAATATATACATATATACACACACACTAATAAGAACTATAATTAACAAAACTCTTAATTTGCATAAGGAACTTATGCTACTAGATTTACAGATAAATATTTTAAGGTGGCTGTTATTATTTCTATTTTTCAAGGGGAAAACTGAGGCCTAAAAAAGTTAAGGAACTTTCTCAGCTGTTTCAAAGTCAAATTTTGAACTTCAATTGCTTTACCTGTAAGTCTTCTCCCTTCAAAATGACATTGTCAAAAAAAAAAAAAAAGCCAAAAATTCCAAAAAAAATGACATTGTCTAGTTTTCCTTCAGGTTTACCTCCATCAGTTCTAGTCCTAAAACCATGAGCAGAATTAGCCATCACTGGATTAGAAAGTATTTTTCATTTTAAATTGATTTAAAGTATTTTGTGTTTTAAATTGATTTTCTGAAATAGGATTTCTTGTTCTCTAATGTAGCTCATTAATCAAGTCAGCCTGAATATAATCACAATGGAAATAGGAATATTCTCCCCCACTTGTTTTCATATTCAGATATAATTATTAAGTAAACTAATGGAAGAATCAAAGTACACACACATAATCTCCATACCTGCTCTCCTGCTCTGGATTTCGCCATTACCTTTATTGAATTAAAGATGTTCTCAGCTCCTAGGCTCTGGTTTGCCAGTTCAGACACCCAGCCAAACTGCTCGCTCATCTTCTCCATCAGATACATGGTGTCCTCCAAGTGATGCTGGACCATCTGGACAACCTGGTCGTATTGCTCATTGGACACATTGACCAGTCTAAGGGCCTTATCCAGTTCTATGTGTAGGTCAGCCACATTGGGACAGTCTAGTAAAGAAGACACATGGTAAAAGAGAAAGTCCCTGGAGCCTGGTGGTGAGTGACATGGGCTTAAATCTCAGAGAGTTCCTAGTTTGTGCCTGCAGTTCTGATGAGTGGCCATTCATATTGTCCGTGTTGGTTTCCAAGGGGATCCAGTTAATGATATGGTTTTATATAATAGAAACAAGGCTGGAAACAGAACTTCGTATTGTAAATACAACATTCCTAACTACCCATGTTAAGGAAAAAGAAATATTACTAAAGCAGAAGAAGATCCTGCTGTGCCCCTTCATAGCATGTCCTCTTAATCTCCTTAAAAGGAAACTACTGTTTTAAATTTGGATGTGAAAGTCCAGTACCAGTAATTGGCATAGGAAAGAGGAAACCCTACTGGTAAACACTTAAAATTAGGACCAAAAATGTATATAGTAAACTGTGAAAACATGACTAGTGATGTTTGGAAAAATATTTTACTTATCTTGTATTTATCAGACATGAGATTATAACTAGAGCTATGTGCTTAGTCTTAGAAGAAAGTATCAAATATCTATTGAAGAGGCAAAATTACTGTTTGATCAAATATAGGAGAGCCATTTGTAATAACAAAACTTTGAAACAACTTAAAGGTACTTCAACTAGTGAATGGATAAATAAATTGTGATGTTACTACATAGACCAACATATAACAGTGAATTAATGAACTAGAGCCATGTGTATTCACATGGCTAAATTCACAAACTACACCGAGTGAAAAAGTTGTAAGAGAATAAATAAGAATAATATTTATATTGTTAAGGAAAGTTATCCAGAACTTGGGAATAAGGCTCAGGAACAGCTGCATGTCCTTCTAGGGTCATACTGAGGCATTATCTCAGAGGCCCACCTGCAGATCCCTCATTTCTCAAGGGAAATGATCCTTCATTGGCTTTATTATACACTGTTGATTAGAGCCAGACTCTATGAAGTTAGATATAAATTATGGATTGAAAAGTTGCAAATGATTTTTGTCTAGCAGATATGTCTAGTCTGATAGAAAAGATAACTACAAAAGTTATTGCTATGGTTGCTCTCTAATGTACTAACTAGTTTTATATCTAACTTTGTATTCTTATTTCAGCATTTTGTCTATTCTTGACTATAATACTTCAGTGTCTTATACTCATTTGAACTAGCTTTAACACTCTGCAGTTCCCCTCAATAAGAAATTACATTAATTTTGACATTCATATATATATATATATATATATATATATATATATATATATATATATATGAATCATTTTTTTAAGTTTAAAAATTATGCTTTGAAGTTGGGCATGGTGATACATGCCTGCAATCCCAGAGGCTAAGGAGGCTGAGGCAGGAGGATTGCAAGTTCAAGATCAACCTCAGCAACTTAGTGAAGCCCTAAGGACTTAGTGAGACCCTGTCTCAAAATAAAATCATAACAAATGGGTTGGGGATACGGCTTAGTGGTTAAGCAACACTGGATTCAATTCCTGGTATATATGAGTGTGTGTGTGTGTGTATATATATATATGTATGTATATATATATACACACACCCACACACACACATACACATACACTTTGACAACATAATATATATATATTGACAACATAATATATATATTATACCAGGAATTGAACCCAGGGGCACTTAAACACTGAGCCACACCCCCAGCCCTTTTTGTATTTTATTTACAGACAGGGTCTTGCTGAGTTGCTTAGGACCTTGCTAAGTTGCTGGGTCTGGCTTTGAATTTGTGATCCTCCTGCCTTAGCCTCTGGAGCTGTTGGGATTACAGGCATGCACCACCACTCCTGGCTGGCAATATAAAAATTTTAAAAAATATGGCTAAGTATGGTGTATGCATATACATATATGTGTATTATATAAATAAATACATGATAAGAGCATACATACAAAGAAATAATAAATACCAAATTTAAAATAGCTACTTTCTTTTGAGAGGATACTCAAAGAGAATGTGATATGGAGGAAGACAATGTGGGGTTTCATCTGTTTCAGTGAAGTATTTTTTAATCTAGGCTGTAGGCACATGAGTTTTTGTTTAATTGTTCTTTATATAACATTGCATTTTACAATATAAGTTTTTAACACTATGGGAGCATGTTAGGTTATCCTTTCTTTATATTTTACCTTTGTAACAATCAACTTACATTGCATTTATGCTATATTACCGGATGTATACAGTATCCATTAGCTAATTGCTATAGTTTGGACATGGAATATCCCCCAAAAGCCCTTGTGTTAAAGGCTTGGCTCCCAGCCCAAAGGCGGTGGACACTTTAAGAGGCGGGGTCTTGTGAGAAATCTTTAGATCATTGGGAGTCTGCCTGGTCTCTTCTCTTTTGCTTCTTCCTGCCACATGGTAAGAGATTTCACTCTATACACTTTCATCATGATGTGGAACCTTGTCACAGGTCCAAAGCAATGGGGCTAATCAATTATGGACTACTAGCCAAAATGAACATTGTTTTTCCTTATAAGATTTATCTCAGGCATTTTTATAGTAATGGGAAGATGGAGAGGGGGGATAGTAGAGGATAGGAAAGGCAACAGACACTAGTATGGCAGTATGTAAAAAAGTGGATGTGTAACTGATGTGATTCTGCAATCTGTATACGGGGTAAAAATGGGAGTTCATAACCCACTTGAATCAAATGTATGAAATATGATATGTCAAGAACTATGTAATGTTTTGAACAACTAATAATAAAAATTAAAAAAAAGTAATGGGAAGATGGATAACATTGGTATGTATTGGTTCTCAGATACATTTATATTATCTGATTTTTTCCTGTTATTATCTTGTGACAAGCAGGGACAGATTATTCATCAACTCCTTTAGCTTAATAGAAGGAAATAAATAGATGTTAATGATACATAGATGGGCTGCCTGAGTGGGGTGATTTTTGTCAGTGGTCCATTTATTCACATATATTTTTCTGTTATAAAAACATATAACATTTTCTGTTTCTTCTTTACACAATCTTATATGCAACCCTGCAACTGAAAAACCAAAATACTTAAATAATAAAAACTATTGATATTCAGACATCTTATTTAATCCTCAAAAGATCTGTATGCAGTACATGTTTTACTCTCCTTTTCCAAATGAAAAAACAGCAGCCCAAAGAGTCATCCAGTCTGTAATTTAGGAGGAATAAGATCCAGTTGATAGTCAAACCATCGAAGAGCAGTGCTTTCCAAACTTTTTCTACCAAGACAGATTTTATTTATTTATTTATTTATTTTTTTAAAGAGAGAGAGAGAGAATTTTAATATTTATTTTTGAGTTATCGGCGGATACAACATCTTTGTTTTGTATGTGGTGCTGAGGATCGAACCCGGGCCGCACGCATGCCAGGCGAGCGCGCTACCGCTTGAGCCACATCCCCAGCCCCCCCAATTTTTTTTTTTTTGGTGGTGCTGGGGATTGAACCCAGGGTCTTATGCATGCAAGGCAAGAACTCTAATAACTGAGCTATATCCCCAGCCCCATCAAGACAGATTTTAGATGTTAATTTTTCTGATATACATTCTAAGATGGGATAGATGTGTTCATGGAAAGGACATTTGGCCTGAGAGGGATGTAGAAAAACAGACAAGTACCTTGATGGGATGGATGCTGCTTTCAAAAGAAGGGCAGAGGGGGGAGGGAGAGGAGAGGGAACAAAGTGGAAGAAGAGAAAACAATCCTGGCTTCTGTCCTGTAGCCCAGGGAACCCACCCCCCAATCCCCATAAGCCCATCCAACCAGAGAATTCAGAAGAGCCCAGGCTGGTGATATTCAAATAGAGGGTGAAAGGGGGTGTTGTTGACTATATTTGGGTATTATAAGCACCCAAATATTTGATAGACTATTACATTCATCTTTTAGTTATTTAGTTGAACACAAAAATTAGAATGGGAACCTCACTCCTTTTGAGTTGCAAAGTATGAAAATGTATAGAAGTTCCGCAGTGAATTAACTTGCATGACGAGATTGAAGACCAGTTTCTTTAGTAGAGAATATTAATCGGTAAAGCACAAGATACCTTGGACAGGGTGATTGAGAGAGTTGGGTTGGATTTGGGTTTTGTGGGGTTTGTTTTGTTTGTGGTGATAAGAATGGAATCCAGGACATCTCACATGCTAGGCATATGCTCTACCACTGAGCTACACCCCTAACCAAAGCAGGGTATTTAAGTAAAAGAAGCACCACATGGGATGGGGATGTAGCTCAGTGGTAAGAGCACTTGCCTAGCATGTGTGAGACCTTGATCTCAATCCCCAGTGCCACAAAAATAAAGTAGTAGTATGTTAAAAAATCAAACAAAATTAAGATATGTCTAATGATTTTTAATATTATAGAATATAAAACACATGTATGTTTATCATAAAGTTTGGAAAACACAGACAGGAGTATAAAAATTATTCTTAATCTTTTTAAAAAATTTTTTTAGTTATAGATGGACATAATTCCTTTATTTTATTTATTTATTTTTATGTGGTGCTGAGGATTGAACTCAGTGCCTCAAACATGTTCGTAAGCCTTCTACCACTGAGCCACAACCAAAGCTCTCATCCTTAATCTTAAAACCTAAAAATAATCTTTATTAGTCTTATGGTATATCTAACGATATATGGTGTGTGTGTGTGTGTGTGTGTGTGTGTGTGTGTGTGTGTGTTTGGTACCAGGCATTGAAACCAACGGTGCTTAACTATTGAGCCACATCCCCAGCCCTTTTTATATTTTATTTAGAGTTGCTTACAGCCTTACTAAATTGCTTAGGTTAGCTTTGAACTTACAGTCCTTCTGCCTCAGCCTCCTGAACTGCTGGGATTACAGGTATACACTGCCACTCCCAGTTTATGTTAGCTTTTTCAAGATCAGAACAACGTATTCTCCCTTTTTTCTAAACAGTTAAATTAGGTACATTACTCACTGTTAGAGGGCTGTGGACAGAAAGCAAATGAGAGGACAAAGGAATTTCTACTGGTTGGAAGGAGCTGCTCTTGTTGTAGGTGTAAATATTACTCCAGTGGTCTTTGGATTGGGTGGAAATGAAAGGTGCAAGAGCTATTATTTTATACTTAGCAACTTATGATTCCGTCTTTTCTGAAATTGCTTTGGAGAATAATTTTTCTTTAAAGACTACTCAGTTGAGTCCTAGATAACAAAGTGACTCACCCAAAGTTGCCAGCTAGTATGGAAGGATACTTTATGAAGGTACTGATTTGTGTTGCTCTTACTATATCTTCCAACCTCCTTCTACCAGTTATTATCCACACTTTTAAAATGTTCTTCCTTAGGCCTTTAGCAAGATAAAATGCCAAAGCATAGGAACCAAAAGCTCTTCTTGTTTTTTAGAAAGAAACATTTTGACCTGGCTCTGTTGGGATGAGAGGAGTAACTTTATTAGGAGGAAGACAGAGAAAGGGAGGAAGGGAGGAGGACAGGAGGAAGGATCTCCTGCCTGGGGAAGGTCACTCTTGGCCAAATCTGGGAGGGAAAGGCTTGCTGGGAGCTGTAAAAAAGAGCCACTTTTCCTATTTAAATACTAACTAGTCAGGCCATCAGGGAAGGCAGTAGTCATGGCACACTGTAATCCTGGCTACCTGGGAGGCTGAGGTGGGAGGATCACAAGTTCTAGCAACTTAGTGAGATGTGGTCTCAAAAAACCAAAAAGAAAAAAAGAAAGAAAGAAAAGCAAAGACTGAAGATATAGCTCAATAGTAAAACAATACTGAAAATTAATAAGCAAACACTAATTGGTCAATTAACCCACCAAATGGAAAGAGCTAATGCTACTTAAAAAAAAGATAATAATAACTCACTTGGATAAAAATTAACTTATTTAATGGGAAGTTTTTCTTCATTGGTGGATTTTCTTTTTCTTTGTGGTAAGAGTTGACCTAATTTGCTCATTGTTTTTCTCTTTTGCTTATATTAGTGTTTGCTTGGTCTTTAATCATAAAAAGTCTCATAGGGGCTGGGGATGTGGCTCAAGCGGTAGCGCGCTCGCCTGGCATGCGTGTGGCCCGGGTTCAATCCTCAGCACCACATACAAACAAAGATGTTGTGTCCGCCGAAAACTAAAAAAAAAATAAATATTAAAAATTCTCTCTCTCTCTCTCTCTCTCTCTCTCTCTCTCTCTCTCTCTCTCTTTAAAAAAATAAAATAAAATAAAAAAATAAAAAGTCTCATAGGAGGGCTGGGGTTGTGGCTCAGTGGTAGAGCGCTTGCCTGGCACATGTGAGGCCCTGAGTTTGATCCCCAGCACCATGTTTGAAAAAAAAAAAAAACTAAGTAAAGTTATTGTGTCCATCTACAACTAAATAATAATAATAATAATAATGATAGTCTCACAGGAACAATTAAGAATTAAAGAAAGTAAAAATGTGAATCAACATACTTTGAAAAATAACAATTTATAAACCTACATACAATGAATGCTGCCAGGTGGAAATGAGAGTGCAGAAAAGAACCTGAAAGAAAGCAAATCAATCCACAAAACTTGTGAAAGGGAGATTTTAACCAAATACTGTTGAAACTCTGGAAAAAATAATTATTTACCTTCTGATAAGTAATCCTGACATTTTTGGCATCTTTCTTGTAATCTGAAACATCCAGAAAAATTTTGTCCAAGTTCTCCACACGGTCCTTTGTCCTGCTCAGGTAACGTCTTTGAAATCAGTCCTCCCTGGTCAGAGTCTGCAGGGAACACAACATTTACACATTAGTGTCATTAGAGTTTGCACTTTAAACAACAGGAGACGATGTCCTTGCTTTTTCTTACCAGTCAAAATCTTTTTTCTGTATTCAAACATAAGGGCACATATTGTTGCAATCATGTGCTAGGACCATTTGACATCTATTAAAGATTGCACACACCCTCAAATCCAGGAATCTGATTACTAGGAATTTATTATTAGCACATGCACACACACACCCACACACACACACACATATGAATGCATGTGATTTCATTTGCTAGAAAGCAGCATGAGGGATTGTTAATAAATGTCTCTTAGAAGAAGGACTGGATGGGATGGGAAACTGTGGGTGGGTTGTGTTTATTTTTATTCCTTTGTACATTTGAATTATTTTAAAGCTAGTATCTCTCTCTCTCTCTCTCTCTCTCTATATATATATATATATATATATATATATATACCTTTATTTTGTTTATTTATATACCTTTATTTTATTTATTTATTTTTATGTGGTGCTGAGAATCGAACTCAGCACCTTGCACATGCTAGGCGGGCGCTCTACCACTGAGCCACAACCCCAGTCCCAGTGTGTCTTATTTTTATCATTTTTATTTCTAATATCAATAGGGTTAAGTAACTAAGTGCTTGTAAACCACTTGTCTCTTTAGACATCTATTAAAAAGGAAGGAAGGAAGGAAGGAAGGAAGGAAGGAAGGAAGGAAGGAAGGAAGGAAGGAAATCCTCTAAGGCTGGGAATGTAATTTAGTGGTAAAGTGCTTGCCTAGTATACTTGAAGCCTTGGGTTCCAGCTCTAGCACCATTAAAACCAAACCCAAACAAAAGCTTTAATAATTATTTTAAAAATTTAAAATTATAATTGGGAAGTACATGGGAATTCCAAAGATATTGGCAATGTCTTAAACTGGGTGGTATGCATTTCTTTTATTATACTACTATTCTTTTTTTGCAATATATAGTTATAAATAGTGGGTTTATGATTTAGTAAAATACCTAAAGCAGATCAATTTTTAAGAAACAGGTTTTTTCCTAGGAGAATTAACAATGTATATAAAGTCAACACAATTAAAAAATAACATGAAATATCAAAATATTTCAGGTTTTAAACATTATTTCCTCTCTCCTTTGAATGGTTGTTCATTAGTTAGTTTTAGCTATTTTTCTAATTTTGGCTCTTAGGATGATTATGACCAATAAGGCCCATCCATGATGGTTGACAGACACACAGTAGTCAGTCTTGACTACTGTAATTGACAGAGGTATGTATTTGTTTCTTCTTGCTGCTATAACAGATTACCACAAATTTATTATCTTAAGTTCTCTATGTCAGAAGGCTGAACTGGGCCTCAATGGGCAAACATCAAGGTGTCAGCAAGGCTAGTTTGTTGTGGCCACTCTAGGCAAGAATCTATTTTTATACCATGTCCAGTTCTAGAGACACCTACATTCCCTTGCTGAGGCCCCCTTCTTCCATCTTCAAAGCCAACAAAGAAGGATGAAATATTTCCCCTGCTGCTTTCTCTACAATTATTTTCTGACTCCCCCTTCCACATTTAAGGAGCTTTGTGGTTACATTGAATCCACCCATAATTAAAAATAATCTCCAAATTTAAAATTCAAAAGTCAACAGATTAGCAATCTTTTTTTGTGTGTCGGGGGGAGTGCTGGGTATTGAACTCAGGGGCACTCGACCACTGAGCCACAACCCCAGTCCTATTTTGTATTTTATCTTATTTAGAGACAGGGTCTCACTGAGATGCTTAGCACCTTGCTTTTGCTAAGGTTGGCTTTGATGCTGAGATCCTCCTGAGCCACTGGGGTTACAGTTGTGCGCCACTGCACCCAGCCAGATTATATATATTCATTCATATTTTATATATATATAAACGTTTTTAAAAACCCCTTGCTAACCTTGCTTTCCCTTTGACTTATAACACAACAGAGTCACAGGTTTCGGGGATTAAGCAGTAAATATCTTTGAGCAGACATCTTTCAGCTCGTTACCAAGGAGCAAAGCTCAAAATGTCTCCTCATTAGGTAGATTTTCTAGAGACAACAGACTTATTCCTTCCCAACCACCTAATAGAATGACAAAAACCACTTACAAATACCCTACAGCCTGACTCTCTTGACAGATAGTCCACATTTGCTCATCTGAGACCAAAACACTTCCTCTGCCGAGCTTTCTATACACTGTCTGGCAAGGGAAAGGATACTGGAGAAAGAAGAGTATACTAGTGAAACATAAGCTTTTTTGTTTGCCACTTTATTTTTAACATTTGCATTTACAGAGGACCCTGGATATCCAGGTTATCACAGAGGTAAAGGTGGTACCAAGGGGCCAGCATAGAGGGCGTTGCTGAGAGTGGGGACTGGTCCCCAGATGTGTGAAGGAGAAGGAAGCTCAGGCAAATAGTGGTGACCCACATTTACTAAGTCAATGGGGTCGGAGGGAGCTGCAGTAGTGGGGAGATTATTTAGATCTGGATATGTCTGAATCAGTCCTAATCCTGGCACATATGTAAGGTCGCTATGCAATATGAAGGGAGAGTTGCCATTTTGTTCCAATAAACACATTCAGAATGTTATTCCAAGACAATTGATATTTATTTAAAAGATCAGACAAATATATGTGATAGCACCCCAGCACTGAAATATTTAATCCACTGACCAGATGCTTCTCCTAAATATTGGATGAATTTGGAACCTCAGAATGGAACACCAGACAAAATATTTGACTTAGGAGAAAAATCCACCAGACCCCCCTGAAATAGAGCCCAACAATTCCAGTGATGATGGCTGTTCTCTGCTCATGGAACAATAGAATCTGAAGGATTTGTTTTCTGGCTTGAGTTTCTGAAATGTGTGGGGTAAACCCCTCCTCTATTGAAGCCTGTTATGTTATGCATAGCAGCTTTGAGAATCTGATCCACATGTTGCCAGCTACTACTGATATAAGTGGAAAATAGTCAGCCAGAAGGAGCCCATTTTATTTTTCATTTCAGAGTCGAGAGGTCTTTGATGTGACCTTGTGGTTTCAAAGAGATAAGTCCAAGGAAATAGAGATCGTCCACACAGTAATGCTCATTTCTGAAATGCTAAGTTACTCCATAGAAGCTTGGAGAAGATAGCCCCTGCCTTGAAACATAAAGCAGGATTTTTTTCCCAACATGGAATATTATGCGGGCATGGTTAGTATTAGGAGAAGGCAATTCATATCTAATTTCTATTTCTGTATTTTGGGATTTGCCTATGAGCATCTTCTCCAGTTTGGGGCAAATATTTTATGATCTCGGGAATTATAGTAGTGACTCAGGAAAGTCAAAACACTGAATTTGACCAGTTACATGTGAGACTAGGCTTCTTTACAAAACGGGAGGTGAAGATCCTAAAGGAACTTTAAAGAAAATCCATGATGTTCAAATAGAATAGAGATGAGTCTCTATTTAAGTGAGAGTTTAAAAAGGAAGGAGACAGGCCCAGTGACACACATCTATAACCTCAGCGACTGGGAAGCTGAGGCAGGAGGATTGCAAGTTCAAGGATAGCCTGGGCAACTTAGCAAGACTTTTTCAAAATAAAAAAGGCTGAGGATGTAGCTCAGTGGTAGAGCACCCTGGGTTCAATCCCCAGTACCAAAAAACATCAAAGAAAGAAAAGAGGGATCTGTGTTTTTCAAGTTCTCACCCTAATAGCATTTTCTTCTTTTAGCTTTGAAAATTTGCTCCAAAGACAGAAAATAGCACTAGAGTTCTTAACAATGATGGGAGAAGGATAGTGTTTGACTTCAAAACTCCTTTTAAGAGGCTCTGAAACTTTGGTTATCTACAGATTGTCAGTTCAAGAAATGCTAAAGAGTGACTCAAAACTGTCTACCATTTTCTAAGCTAAACAAAATTTGCCTGCAGCATAGACATCTAAGTAAAAGTGATCGTTTAATACTTGCCTTCGTCATGTTTTGGTGAATCTTCTATTGCACGCAGAGTATGGGTAATTGCTTCACGGAGATTTTCATAAATAGAGCGGCTGAAATTACGAAACAGCTGGAAGAAGTTGGGAATATCCCAGTTTGGGCCAAGATCTGCTTTTTGTGTTGGCTCTTTAGATAAAGCTGGAAAAAGGTAAGGTTCCATTAAGTTGGTTTCTGACATGAAATCGGATTGGAAAGCCTGGTCAAACTCTTGCTGCATCTGTTTGAAGACGTAAAGACTCCTGTTAAAGAGGGATTCCGCAGTCGCAGTCAACTGGAGGAACGCCTTCTCCATCTGGGTCACTTGGGCGTCTTCCTGAGTGTGTTGTTCACTGCTGGGGAGGTGGCTGTGCTCATCGTCATGGAGAGGGAACAGAAACTGATAGATCTTCCTGAAAAACTGCTCAACCTGTGGGGTGGAGTGGGGAACAGACAGGCCATAAAAATTGATTTTCTTTCCGGACTATTTCTTATTGCAAAAGTAAATGTCAGTTTATAGTAAGTAGTCATTCCAAATCAAGAACCATTCTGGGCAAGGTAGGAAAAGGCGATCAACTTTAAAATAATGTATTAACAACACTCTTATCCCTGGCTTTGACTTTTCTATGGAATAGGACCTGAAATTCCTCCTGGTGTAGGTTTGCCCACTGATGGTCTAGAAAGGTCAAGTTCACAATACAGTTGAGCAGTTGTAACTTGAGGCACTGGCAGTAGTTGGTTTGCTGTTGCCTCAAGGGCACCATCAAAATTGTCAGAAAACTGTGAAGAAGGCTCTTGTCCTTCACTTGTCTTCATTTTTTTTTTTAATTCTTTAGTGAGTTGGGCACAGTGGCACATGCCTATAATCTCAGTGGTTTGGGAGGCTGAGACAGAAGGATCATGAGTTCAAAAGCCAGCCTCAGCAATTTAGCAAGGCCTTAAGCAACAGAGTAAGATCCTGTCTCAAAATAAAATATAAAAAGGGCTGGGGATGTAGCTCACTCAGTGATTAAGTGTTCCTGGGTACAATCCCTGGTACCAAAAAAAAAAACAAAATTATTTAATGAAATATCATTAATGTTTTTATACTCTCCTTTTTCTCGCCTCATAAATGGAAAGGAAAAGATCAATACATCCACAATGAATTATAGATACCATATATAGCTTAATAGGTTATTTAGGGATGGTTACTTATTAGCAATGATGGGAGCCCTCCTGGTTTATAGTCAAAAGAATGAAGCCCTAATTGTAGAATTTTGGGTATCATTCAATGGGAGAAGATTTTCCAGCATCCACCGGGTGCTTTTCTTCATCTCTGACACAGAATCCTGGGCAGACCAGAGTTGCCTTCATATGCTAGTGATAAGGTTATCGGCTATTGAACATTACTGCCATAGCACCACCCACTACTGTTCAAAGTATTCTCCAGGAATTTTTAGAGAACTTGTGACTTTCCCAGAAAGTCATCTGGGTGAGCTGTCTGCCTTTCACTCTGCCAGCTTTTGTTTACTTGGCTCCATCCCCAAAACCAAGACTTTAATTCTGGGTTAAGGTGGTGCATGTCTGTAATCCCAGCTACTCGAGAGGCTGGGGAGGAGGATCACTTGAGCCCAGGAGTTTAAGACCAGCCTGGGAAGCATGGAGGGACCATGCAAAAAAAAAAAAAAAAAAAGACAAAAGACAACAAATACTTGAGAGCCCTGAGAAATATTCATAAGGTCTCAAATCTCCTGGCTTCCAGCCAGGGCTCATCCAACCATATTCTGGTGTATTAGACAATGACAGTGGCTTTTAAAATAAAGCAGATGCAATCAACAGTGGAGACAAATTAGCTTGGCACACTCCTTATCCTAGGGGTTCTCCTTTGTAATTGAGTATGGCACTGCCAAGCCAGGAGCATCCTCTAATTAGTGAGTGCTCTACTAGAAGAGTGAAATTCTAGTCAGTTTTCATATTCTACTCACTTCATGAGGGAGGAGGAAAATTCAGGCCAGTTGAGCCTTTTATAGGGCAAAGCTCATTCTATTCAGGTCACCACCCTCTATGATTCCCTCTGCCCCAAAGATAGCCAAAGGGGCAAAACACAAACATGCCAGTTCCCTAGGACATATATGGATAAAAGGGGACATGAAAGTGTGTGTGTATGTATGCACCCACATGTGTGCATGTGTTACACATAAGAGGATGTGTGCATTCAAAAAGATTGAGGAGGCAGAGAATGTCTTCATATATGTGGCCTCTCGTGGAGAAAAATGAAAGCAGATTGAATCAGAGACTGAAGTCGTATAATTAAGAACACGATTAGACCAACATTTATTGGATGACTACAATGCTCAAATGAAGGCAGAATATATGATCCCTGCCTTCAAAGAGCTCACAGTCTAGTGGAACTTGGTGAATAATAAATACAAGGCTGAAAGAGGGTATTTCTGGTATCCTTAAAAGGAAGGATAAATACTGAATGGTTATTCTAACTTATAAGCTGTACATACACAGATGGTGGCTCATAGCATTTGGGTTAGAGTCTAGATGACAAAAGGCTGATACCAGTTGGGCATCTCTGTTCTAAATATTAATATAAATGTATTTTAAAAAGCTGATCTAGATGCCTTTAGGGCTCTGACATTTTGAGCTCTCTTTTCCTCTTACCGTATTTTTCACAGAGGACCAACCAGGCTGACAGGTTGAATAGAATCTCATGCAGTTACTGTCCAGGCAAGTCCTGCATTCCTCCCAGGAATCAGCCAGAGATGCCTGGCATAACCTTTCTTCTTCCTCCAGATGTTCCTGAACTTCATTCATGAGTTTCACAGCCCCCTAATTAAAAAGTAGAGAAACGAGTCCTATTTCCATTTCATGATTCTCTGTGTGCCTTAGTTGATTCCACTCTTTAAAAAATGTGTGTATGGGGCTGGGGTTGTAGCTTAGTGGTTGAGCACTTGCCTCTCAGGCATGAGGCACTGGGTTCGATCCTCAGAACCACATAAAATAAATAAATAAAACAAAGATAAAAAAAAATGTGTGTATTCTAAACCACTCCTTCCTCCTTCAGGCCCCTTGCCGCTGACAGATCTGCTGCAGCGCTTTCTGTTTAAGAGAAGAGCACTGATTGGTTTTTATTGGAGATTGTGCAAATGTTATTCATGTGTTCATTCATGTGTTCGATAAGGATTTTTCGAGTGTTTGCTATGTGGATGGACATTACACTAGATGAGGGTGAACCAACAATAAAGATGTCACCCCTACCTGGGGGGACCACTGTGACTTACATTCTTACCTGTCTTCTGCATGTCTAGTCTATGGGGGATGTGGAAGATGGTCTGTAAGGCTCATAAAGATGAGATATCTATTTATTTCATTGATATTGCCTTTAACTATTGCATGTTCTCATACACTACAAGAAAGTATAGTTCTTGTATCTTCCCATTGAGTTAACATTCGAATTGCAGAGAATTGTTCATTCTCCTCTTGTGTATTCCAAGCACTCCCCCTTGTGGTGCTGGCTGTATTTGGGCCAGGTCCTGTATCCAGTGGGAAGGAGCCCAGTGCAGTGGGCACCTGTCCCTGAAAGCCTCAGCCTGGCCTCTGGAGGTCCCCAAAGGCTGCCTTCATAGCACATCAGGCCTTTCTTCTTGTGCCCCTGCCTAGCTCCCTGGCCTCCCTCTGAGTGTGGGCTTTTAAGACTGACTCCCTGTTTGCCTTAGATGAAGTTAAGGGGATGAAGAGCATAATTGACTGGTCCATACAAAGATAGAACTAAAGGCCTTTCCCTTTAGTGAAAAATGCCTATAGGAGGAAAAAAGTTTTGGTACTTAAAAACCAAATTATTGCCAGGCACAGTGGTACACATCTGTATTTCCAGTGACTCGGGAGACTGAGGCAGGAGGATCACAAGCTCAAGGCCAGCCTCAGTAAATTAGAGAGGCCCTAAGCAACTTAGTGAGACCTTGCCTCAAAATAAAAAAATAAAATAAAATAAAGGGCTAAGGATGTGGCTCAGTGGTTAAGCACCCTTGGTTCAATATCAGTACAAAACAAAAATTATTGTACATTATTTTAACACAATGGAAAAGAAAAAGAAACCACTCTATCCTGGCATATTGAGCCCAAAGAACCCAGGCTCTGACAGTCTTCCACATTTCCTCTGTCTGGCTTGGATTTTTCAGTTGGCCTCATTGCAGAGTTCTGGTGCTGAGCCAGGTAGCATTTGTTACCACCCACATTGGAAAACCAGCAGGGCCCAGGCTGCCAAATGCACATGGTGACCCAAACAGAATCTGTGTGTGTGTGTGCCCCTGGGCTTTGCAGAACAATGTTGGAAACCTACATCTTCTTAAGAATGGTTGTTTCACTCCAGCAGGCAACAATACCTCGTGAGTTTTCTCAGTCCCAATTTTAAATATTCTGCACATTATCCCCTTAAATCAAAATCCCAGTATTCCCAGTTCTGAACTATACTCACAGTGTATCCCTGGGCAAATTACTTAATATATCTAAACTTTAATCTCTTCATTAGCAAATTGGAATAATAGTACGTGCTCCCTTTTAAGGTTTTTGTATTAAATGATATAAAGAAGCAAGTCAATTAGCACATTCTTACAATTCATTATTCTCAGACTTGTTTTCACTCACCCATTTAGAAGCATAACAAAGACCATTGACCAAATTACACATCCCAACTTTTAAAAATGAAATGTCCTGGATGAAGTAGATCTCTGGTTTAGGAATATCTTACTATACCTTCTATTTCTCCTAAATGTTCCACCCATGGACATGGACAGAGTCCACGTTTAGAACTATATTCTTCTTCTTCTTTTTATTTTTTTTTTGTACCAGACATTGAACCCCAGGGCACTAACCACTTAGCAACATTCCCAGCCCTTTTTTCTTGTATTTTATTTAGAGACAGGGTCTTGCTGAGTTTCTTAGGGCCTCACTAAGTTGCTGAAGCTGACTTTATCTTGCAATCCTTATGCCTCAGCCTCCCCAACTGCTAGAACTCTATTTTTATAGTTCACAGCTCATCAAAATACCCAGGAACCTGACATAGGGGACAAATCAGTATGGGCCACTTGTGGCTTTCTCATTTTAGTAAGTTTCAGATGCTCTCAATCAATATTAATGGGTGGGGGGAGTGGCATGGGACTGTGATGATGTCACGTCACCTGACGGGTGGTACTCAGTACCAGGAGACTGGGTGTGCCAACCCCATATTTACCAAGTCATAATTTGGCTAAACTGATCCTTATTCTAGGTTTACCGTAAGTTCAGGGAGAGAGACTCAGGGTTAAAGACCTTCTGCTCCATTAACTTTTTAATTGAGTGCCCAAATGCAGTAAGCTTTTGGGTCCTAAGTAGGTTTTTAAGAATAAATAGAAATTCTCCCAGTTGCTGGGGCCAGAATTGAAACCAACATTTGCTTACTTGATCCACCCCTAACTGGAATATTCTCTTCCTAGTACTACAGCCTTCGCTTGCCAGGAGGCTCCAGCAACTGAGAAAAACACAAAGCCACCGAGTCCCGCATGCACACATCTGCTGGCTTTCTCCCCGATCATGCCTTTCAACGTTGGAGTAACGTGTTAATTAACATCTCCAACCTCAGTTTTCTTAGCTGTAAAATGAAAGTATGGTTTACCCAGATGTTTGAAGCATTCCATGTGATAATGTGTTTTGTAAAAGCTCTGTTAATGACATTGAGCGTCACTATTCCCAGGTGGCCAGACTCACAAGCCCACCAGGGTAGAACCCAGCTTGAGGGACTTCCATGTTGTCCTGACGTTGAGCTATTTTAGATTTCCTCAAAATCTTTTAATTGCTGCCAAAGGGAGGAGGGTTTGCAGCTGCTGGTCAGGCAATCTCCTTTCCCTGCCAGGAACCCAGCCTGACTCCAGGTGGTAGGTGTGGCTGGAGCATTAACTGGCCTGGTGACAGGCTGACACACCGCTTTGGGGTCAGCCTGTCAGACTCTGCTCTAGTTGCTTAATGGACTCTCAGAGGCCAGGATGCTCGGGAGGGAAGAGATGTGAGCAGTTAGCTGGAATTCACTGACCCCCAACTTTATAGGTGTATGTGTAGAGGTAGAGGTAGGAAATGTTAGAACTCCGCTTGTATTTTTTAATTTGAAAATAGATGGAGGAATTTGATCTCCAACACTGAAATGTTTGTGTGTGTATGTGTATATGTATTAGAAGTACACAAACACGTATATGGGGAAGGGAATTGGGTAGTTGTTTAATACGCATGGATTTTGGGTTTTTGCAAAGTGAAAAGAATTCTGGAGGTTGATTGAGCAACATTCTAAATGTATTTAACTAAATACTGCTGAACAGTACACTTAAAAATGACCAAGATGGGTTTGCTTAGTGGTAAACATATGCTTAGCACATGTGAGGCCCCGGATTCAACTCCCTGCACCCCCCCACAAAATTATGATAGTAAATTTAAATTTTATATTATTTGTATTTTGCCACAATTTGACATTATTTTTGTTAGAGTTTTTATTTCATCTTGGATTAAGGATAATGTTGGAAGGTAATCTTTTTTAAAAAATGTAATTTTTTGAGTGTTATGTTAATTGTTATTTAACAGTTTAATTTATTAAATTATTGAGTATGTAATGTCTATAGTTTGGACAATTTTTTAAAAATATTTATTTATTTATTTTTAGTTGTAGTTGGACACAGTACCTTTATTTATTTATTTTTATGTGGTGCTGAGGATCAAACCCAGGGCCTCTACCCTGAGCCACAAACCCAGTCCTATATTTTAGAAATTTACAGAGTTTTTTTTTTTTTTTTTACAGTAGTTTATGAACAATTCTCAACATCTTTCAAGACATTTATATAAAATGTGTATTCTGTATTGGTAAAAGACATAGTGTGAACTACAGCTATTTAGTAAAGCTGTACTTGAATTTTTAAAAATAGATGAGGGACTGAGGGTGAAGCTCAATGGTAGAATGCTAGACTTACATGGGTTCAATCCCCAGCACCACAAAAGATAAATAAATAAAACGGATTTGGCTGATGCAATATTTAATGTACACTGGTGCTCTCTTGAGTGCCCATGTCAGACACTGCACGTAGTCAACTGTGAGGTCTTCCAGAGAAAAGGATTCTTTCACATTCTGGAACACTGGCGGGGGCTCCCTCTCTCTCTGTTCCTTTGAAACAAATTGTAATGAGTCCCTGTTTGAGAGGATTCAGGTGGACCAATGAATTTTATTATCTAGTTGTAACTAAACTAACCCTCACAAAATGGAGAGAAAGATTCTTGGGATGAGGGAGACCTGGACTATTAAAACATGAATATGAATAATGTAAGTGTAAGTGCATAAAAAGCACATGACAGAGCTGACCACTCTTCATCGTGAGCTCTGTGTTGGCCACATGACAAAGTAAAACTATAATGAGCTAATCAGATTTGGCAAGTCAGCTAAGACTTTCAAAATATCTAGATTATTTTGAAATCTGGATCTGATGATGAACCTCACCCAAAATACATGTTGTACCTCGAGATACTAATGGTAGCAATTCATGTATCTAGTTTACAAATAAAATAATATGCACATATTTAGTAGTGAGTGCTAACACATTTTTAGTTATAGGGATGGCAGATGAAAAAATGTTGGAGATAACTGATCTAGCCCCCAAGTTCCCTGAACACTTTTGACTCGATATCCTAAATCAAAAAGGTCTAAGAATAAGCCAAGTGTGGTGGCATATGCTTGTAATCCCAGCAGCCTGGGAGGCTGAGGCAGGAGGATCTCAAGTTCAAAGCCAGTCTCAGCAACTTAGTGAGGCATGTCTCTAAATAAAAATATAAAAAGGGCTGGGATGTGATTCAGTAGTTAAGTATCCTTGGGTTCAATCCCTGATACCCCCCAAAAAGTGTTATATTCATGTACAAATAATGCATAATGAATTCCATTATTATGTATAATTATAAGGCACCAAAACAGTAAAAAATAAAAAAAAGAACAGATTGTTTTTTCTTTAATTATGGTACCTGCTTTTCTTCTTTGCATTTCTTCAAGGTTGTCATTAGTTTGGTATGTTCTTCCTCTCTTCTTTCCATCGTGAGTTTCATCTGCTTAATACCAATCAAAGCCTTCTTCACCTCTCCATCTCCATCTATCTCCCCAGCCTCAGAAAAACCTGAAAGATGCATTGCAGGAGTTTTTCGTTTGTTTGTTTGTTTTTAAAGATCTGATTAGATTATTAAACAATGAGTTCACCAATATTTCATGTCTCCTTAATAGAGGTTTCATTGTTCTATAGATTCATATTTTGAAAGCAGATTGTAATGCATTATCTGTCAGCTGCCACATGGATAATACCTTCTGTCCCTTACCTGAAAGCTCCTGAACAAGTCAGAGCTCATTTAACCTCGTTCTTGTCATTTTTTGCAGGCCTTATTTTCATTTATCCATTTTTCCCTTCCATTTAGGTCTCAAGTGGGGACTTCAAACACAATGAACGATTTCCCTTTTTCAATTTTAATTACCTTCCAAGAAGTCATCAAACCAAGAAAGAATCTCATACAACAAGATTCCTTCATAACCTAGTGGATATCTCTTTCCCACCTTTCATAAGCCCTAAGCGGGTATAAATTTTGTTGTCTTTATTTCTTCTCAGTAGCCAGTGCGGCCTCCTGAGAAGCTTGTTCTTGCCTCTGAATTTAATTATAGACTCCAAATCAGCCCCATTTTAGCTAATTTATTCGTCTAAGTGGTTAAGTACCCCAAACCTGTGTCACTAAGAAAGGTCACAAGTCAATGCACAGAAACAACCAGATTGAGTGTAATTATAACCCATTCTTTTGCTCGTTTAAGAACAATTACACAGATTACTCTAATGGTTTAAATTCTTTAAATGCTAGAAAAGTATTTCACTGTTCATTAAAGCAGTGCTGAGAAGATACCGAACATCTGGATGGTACCAAAAAAAAGGCAGTCAAAAAAGCAGGCACGTTTTATCTACAGGATAGCAAACATCTGGATATGGGAACACTCGCTTGCAGAGACTTGATTGGAATTTTCTATTTTTATCCAGATGTTTGGCATCATGACGACGTGGTTTAAGTGCCCAGAGAACTTCTCACAGTGAGATGTAGTGGATGCCGTTATCTCTCTATAAGCCACTATAAGTCACTATAAATGCCAGCAGGATAGGAAAACATGCAAACAGGACACCGCACAGATAAGAAACCAAACATACTCTTCAGGTTTTCACCGATGATGGCAGTTTTGTCGTTCCAAGTAGGTGCACAGTGACACTTCAGCCATAGCAGATACGCAATAAACACCAAGAGTGGTGGCTTCATGTTCCTGCTGTTACTGCAAAGGAAAAATAAACTGCATCACGTGTCTTCTATGAGGTTAGTTTCTGTTGGCATCAATTGAAAACACATGGGCTCCAAAGCATTTTTCTGTCAATTTTTCTTTATGACTTTAGACATCTTAGGTTAATATGCCTGGGACATAGGGAAAGTTAAGATATAAGTTAAAAAAACAACAACCTGGGGTCCCTGTTTAGTTTACACTTTTTGTGACAGTTAAATAAAGTCGTCCTGGATGTATTTGAACATTGAGGCAATGGATACTGTGTATCACAGCCCCATTTTATTTTCTTGTCATCGGTAAACATCTCTTAAGACAGAGTTAATTATAATACGTCACTGAAATTCTAAGTCCTATGATCCTTCTGCCTCAGCACTACTAGGCTTTACTCTTTTATGAAGGAAAAACAGTCTCACATATTTTTCTCCTGCTTTTCTTGTAAAACTTGTGATGCTATATGAATAGTGCACATTTAGATTTTGTCTCAGATAACTAATTTCCTTTTAAATATAATTGGACTCTGGGCATGGTGGCACATGCCTATAATCCCAGCAACTCAGGAGGTTAAAGACAGAGGCCCACAAGTTTGAGGTCAGCCTCAGCAATGTAGCAAGGCTCTAAGCAAATTAGCAAGATCCAACCCAAAATAAAAGGACTGGGGATGGATGCAGTTCAGATGTTAAGTGCCCCTGGGTTCAATCCCCAGTACCTAAATAAATAAATAAATAGATTTGACTTGACATACATTAGTTATAGATATTCCAAATTCAAATACTTAAAACTTTACTAAGAAAAGTTAAATTAAAATAACTGTGTGCTTTAATAAAGTTAAATCTGTAAATTAAGACAGATTATCTTGACTTCCTCCAAAGGAGGTATTTATCTGCTTTCTGTGTATTTGATGTATTAAAAATAATAACAAAAACTTACATTATTTAATCAACACTTGAAATATCTTAGCACTATAATAAAATAACAGCTGTATAGTAGTAGTTACACAGTGATCACATTTTACATGTTATTTGAGCTAATTTTTTTCTATTAATACCTTATTTACAAGATGAAACTTTTAATAAAGTATATTTACCACGAACTTTGTGACATTTTCCCAGAGAAGTTGCCACCAGTTTCTAGAAGGATCCGTACTTTCCTCTGATTTAATTCTCATCTGTGTCAGGGATTTGGCTCTCTTCTGTTAATTTGATGACACAGTTCTTAATCCTATTAAAACAATATTTTGAGATTAAGACTCTGGTTTAAAATTTGGCATGGTTTAAAAAAGAAACACTAGAGGGCAGACTGGGCACACAATCAGAACAATGACCTTGGCCTGCCTGGTTTTCCACAAATATAGTTCTATTTGGGTAAGACTCTCTAAAGCCTTAAAAATATCTTTTTAAATTTGAAATTCATAACATGTATAAACTTCACATAAACCCTAGGTAAAACAAATATCTTAGATTGGAAATAGAAGCAACAACATGAAAATAAGTAAACTCTAAGATAAACCATTTTGAAAAGAATTACTTACATAGGGACTGGGGTATGGCTCTGTCTTGTGCTTGCCTAACATGCAAGAAGCCCTTGGTTCCATCTCCAGCACCCAAAAAATAAAAGTAAAGAAATCCAAACAATTATATAAGTATTCTTTTTTCCCTCTGCTATAAGAAATGATAAAAACAAATGATGTTATCACTTCTAATTATATAAAAACCTAATTAATGAATAATTCAATAGATGAGTATTTCAGGTCCTCTACAATTTGCTAATTGATTAGCTGAATTGAAAACGTGGCTCCTAGTAATTCATTTGAAAATAGTTTGGAGATCTGGTAGCTACCAGGCCAGCTCTAGAACCTACAGCCATGGTGTCTCTGGCTGATGAAATTGCAAGACGGTCTTGTCCACCCCACCTTCTGCCTCCCGGCTACCGCCCCCCCTCCCCCCCATGAAAGTTTGAGAACTCATCTCAGCCAGTCAGTAGTTACTATGTGCTCAATACTTTTCTAAAGAGATAGACCATTCTGAATTGGTCTACCTGCTTTATGAAGGCCCTCAGAGTTTGGTCCTTGTCTCTGGGAAACATGTAACCTGGAGTTTTGCTTGGGCACAGGGACTGAGCAATTAGAGGACCCACACCCCATTTTAGCTGTCTTGATTACCTACTAATTCTGTTTTAGTAGGAAATCTCATCTCTGTGTTAGAAAACATCAACTCAAAGCAAAACTTGAATTATTATTATTTCGGGTACTGGCGATTGAACTCAGGGCACTCAACCACTGAGCTACATCCCCAGCCCTATTTTGTATTTTGTTTAGAGACAGGGTCTCATTGAGTTGTTTAGTGCCTCACTTTTACTGAGGCTGGCTTTGAATTCACCATACTCCTGCCTCTTCTCCCAAGCTGCCTGGGATGATGATGATGATGATGATGATGATGATGATTATCATTATTTTAAATATATATATATATATATATTTTTAGGTATAGTTGGACACAATACCTTTGTTTTATTTATTTTTATGTGGTGCTGAGGATTGAACCCATGGCCCTGCATGCACTAGGCGAGTGCTCTACCGCTGAGCCACAACCCTAGCCTCCTATTATTATCAACAGCCCAATTTCACTTTTGATCAACTACAATCCACACTTATAAAAAGACATGTCACAACCTGAATGATGTCTGGTTGGCCAGTAGAGGAGGTAGCATGTTAGATATTCTTTTTTTTTTTGGTGGTGGTACTGGGGATTGAACCCAGGGCCTCAGGGCATACAAGGTAAGCACTCTACTAACTGAGCTTACCTTGTATGCAGTAAGGCCCTAGGTTCAATACCCCCAGCCCCATATTGGGTATTTTTTTTTTTTTCAGGAAAAGAAGAGCACAGTGCTGGAAGAATCAGTCCTAGGAAACTGTTCGGCTCTGCTCTGATTCTACACACCCTTTGCTCATTAATTTGCTGCTGTCTGCTTTTGGGGCCATTTGAAGTCATGGCTGGCATCTGCACATTCCTTTCAAGGAGCCCAGATTTTGTTGAAAATGGAACCGGATGTTTAAGAAATTGAGTAGCAGAGTTTTTCTATAATTCTTGTTTCCTCTTTATGTGTAATTTCTGAGAGCAGAACTTCATTACTAATACTAATTACTTTTGAAATGTCTTTAAACTTCTATGAAGGTTCTTCCTCAAATTACATCATCTGTTTTCACAGCTGCCATTTTGTCCTTAAGATTAAAGAATACTTCATGTGAATTGGTTGCTTTAATAATCATGACTTTAGTATGCTCAAGATTTAAGTGGCTTATAAAATATTATAGATGGTTGGCAATTGAGGAGACCTAAAGCAAGGTCATCTTAATTAAGAAGGATAGGAAGAGGGGGGGCGCTGGGGTTGTGGCTCAGCAGTAGAGCTCTTGCCTAGCATGTGTGAGGCACTGGGTTCTGTCCTCAGCAACACATAAAAATAAATAAATAAAATAAAGGTATTGTTTCCATCTACCACTAAAAAAAATCTTAAAAGAGAAAGATAGCAAGAGGATGCATGTGGTATCAGCGGAGAAATTGATAGAGGAATCTCAGGGATGGACTTCAACATGTTGGTTTATTGTCTTGAGTTCAGGCTTGGGCAGAATTGTGGCCATAATGGACTTGTCAATGTCATCTCTGATTTATACCTGCTGAGGTTTTGATGTGGTTTATCCATCCAGGGATCCATGTGTTGGAAGGTTGGTCTTCAGTATGGCAATGTTAAGATGGTGAACATTCAAGAGGTAGAGACTTCTGGAAGGTTAAAAGATTGACCCTTCCCCTTACTCTTGATAGAAAGGACCACTGGGATAGTACAAAGATCAGTGTTTTAAGATATCAAATTCTATCAAAATCTCTGCCACATAATTGTATCATGATCCTGTGCCTTTGAATTTCAGAATCTTCATCTAAAAATGAGAGTGTTAGGTCAGGCACAGTGGTGCATACCTGTAATCCCAGTGGCTTGGGAGGCTGAGGAAGGAGGATTGTAAGTTCAAAGCCAGCCTCAGCAATTTAATGAGGCCCTAAGAAACTCAGCAAGACCTTGTCTCTAAATAAAATATAAAAAAAAGGTTGGGGATGTGGCTCAGTAATTTAATGCCTCTGAATCCAATCCTTGATGCCAAAAAAAATTAAATTAAATTAAAAAATAAAAAGGAGAGTGTTGGTAAAAATATTTTCTACTGTCATTCCCAGATTTTAAGTTCTGTGATTATTATTCATGTATTCTCCCCAAGCAGCAGTGTAGTTGGAGAGTAATAAGTGATTCGAAGCAATCTGCGAAATGAAAAATTACAGCTAGAGTTGCATAGTATATAGAGTTGCTGAGTAGGTCAAAACAAACATAAATGTTTTATTGAGCCATAGAGTACAACGTAAGTGGAAAGTATAACAATAACCTCTTTTAAAAATCCACACTAAACTAAAAATGTTATTTTAAGCTCATAGTAATCAAGTAGCAAAAGTAAACATTGAATTCAGATTTCAAAATCTTTCATGAAGTAGCGTATGATGGTACATGCCTGTTATCCCATTGACGTGGGAGGCTGAGGCAGGAGGACCACAAGTTTGAGGCCAGCCTTAGCAATTTAACTAGGTCCTATGCAACTTAGCAAGTCCCTGTCTCAAAAAAAAAAAAAAAAAGGGCTGGGGATGGATGTAGCTAGTAAAGCACCCCTGGGTTCAATCTCCAGTACAAAACAAAACAAAACGCCTTCATAAAAGCCAGTTGTTGTGCTACACACCTGTAATCCCAGCTACTTGTGAGGCTGAGGCAGGAAGATCACAAATTCAAGGCCAGCCTCAGCAATTTAGCCACACCTTTTCTCAAAATAAAATTCAGGAAAAAAGTGTCCAGGGATGTAGTTCAGTGGTAGAGTGCATGCTAGGCAATTCCCAGTACTGCATAGACTAAAACAAAACAACAATAACAACAACAACAAACTTCTAAATTCAAGTTTGAATACAATATGAGG